AGGCAAGCTCCACGCCACAGGACCCACGGACCAGCAGGGAGAGGGAAGAGCAGGAAAGAGGCAAAGCCATCTCCCTGGCTTCTGACCACCGGACCAGGGAGCAAGCTGCTCTGTTCCCAGGAGGAGGCACAGGTGTGGGGAGGAGGGTGGTGGCCCGTGTGGAACTCAAAGAGCCCACAGTCTGCCCAGATGGAGCTTCACTACAAGGTGCATGGAAAGGCGTCCGAGAGACAGAGTGGGGTGCATGAAGGAGAACACAGGGCAGCCGAACCTCCCAAGGAAAACCGCCTCCCCGAGTCTGACCCACGCCAACCCATGGGACAAAACGGCCATCTTGCAGCCGCACTGTGCACACGTTACCCCTATTCCACTGAACCACACACTCCCATGCCCTTCTATTGCTCTCCGTAAAACCACATACGTCTTGGGGCGAGATAACTGCAGCACATACTCAGTGTTCAGCACCTAGTACCGTGCCTGCCACGCACTCCAGAACAGGTGAATACTTTAGTGTACGCCTTGTACCCACACACGTAAATATTACACACGTTGCTTTTAAACATTACGTAATTCTGTATAGGATAAAAAGACGCACACTTTCTTGTGCTTTATGTGATGGGTGATATGAAGGGCTTGTACCTGTTGCCTAAAGCACGAATCTTAGAGCTCAACCCACATTTTAGAAGGAGCCTCCCTACCCAATGACGTCTATGCTGCATCCATTCTTGTCTCCTCCCCCAGGCCACTATGCACACAGTACCAGCACCAGCTTCTAAAAAATTCAACAAAATAATGCCGGTCCTTCCCCCTAAGGACACAACGACCCCAGGCCCTTATCTGAAAAGCCAAGTCCTTACGGGGCAGTTCCTGTCCCAACACCAGCTACCTGGTGCCTCACCTGGCTCCGCTTCCGCTTCCATCGCTTAATACAAAACGAAGTTCCTCCTGGACCCCGACTTTTGGCCCCGGAGTCAGACTGCTGGGTGGTGCTCGGTCAGCCTCAGCTCCTGAGCGACTTCTCCGAAAAAGGCCTTTCCTGAACCACCGTGCGCAAGTAAGCATTTCCTCCTAACCCCTTCACTCTTTCAGATACACTCTTTCAGATGTGCCTCCACCACCATCTCCGAGGAGCACAGAAGCCAGAACCCGGCGACCACAATTGTGCAGAATCACAAAGGGGCGCAACAAAGTTGGGTGTTTCTGTCTCTGCAGATCATTCAGGTGCACCAACACAGAAACCCTTGTTGGGGGAGTTGCAATGTACACTTGAAGGGCATCCTGTCCCCAGTTTTCTTCAATTTCTGCATCTCCCTCCGTCTGCCCCTCCTCTGGCAACACTCTTTGCCTCTCTAAAAAGTAAATTAGCATTACAAAAATTAGAAAACAAAGATCACTGATCAAAAACTCAAAGATTGTCAATTAAGCAATCCACTTCCTCTGCCTGCCCTGGCACAGCCAGGCTGGCACCACAAAGACTGCCCTGGGCAGGCACCTGACAAGGGAGGAGGGCGGTGGTGTAGGGGGGTGGGGCTGGGACGCAGACACCATCACCACACCGTGGTCGCTGGCTGAGGGCAAACTGGATGGTCATTTTAGAAGAACGATGGGTACTAGGCAAGGACTAGTGGGTTTTGTTTACTCCTGTAACAAAGGCTGACGACCAAAATGTTCACTATGACTTCTCAGTCTTTTCCGGCTTGCTCTTATAGGTGTGAGTAGTCTGTCAACCCATCATGAGCTAGGAAAGTTGATTTCAATTTTAAGCATGTTTGAAAGGCATGAGAAGACACCGAGGTAGTCAAAACTGGAAGGACTGAGACCCCAACAAAAGGGAAGCCCGCTGAGCCAACTCTAATGTTCAGAGTCCTCTCTCTCCCTCAAGGCATGCAAGGATTCTGAATTTCCTCAGGGATTGGTGGCAATATACCAAAGAGCTGCAAAAGAAACCTAACAGAAAGGCAAGCAGAAAGTCGCAGCTAAACGAGCTGTGGACAGCATAAGGTGCCCAGAAAATGAGACGGCCACTCGACAAGCACTGCCTGAAAAGCTGACACTTCAGTAATCTCATTATGCTGCGGAGAAAATAACTGGGCTTTGGGACCTAGCATCAAGGAAGTGTCCTTGGAAATACGCCAGGCCTCCAAATGGAGACCCTGGAGGTCCACACGGGGGTGGGGGACTGCGTGAGCCCAGCTCACACTGCACCTTACAAAGACTGGGCCCGTCTCAACTCACGCCTGACTGAGCCCAATAACCGCCGCACTCGTGTTGTGTGTGATGAAAGGCTGAAGGAATACAAACACAGGAAGAGTCTCTATGCTTCTACATCATGTCCAATAGAAAAATAAAAACAAACAAGAAAAGAAAAGAAAAAGAAGAGACGAGAAGAGGATAGAAAAGGAAAGGAAAAGTAAGAAAAGAAAAAGAAAAGAAAAGAATAGAAATGGGATGCCTGGGTGAATCAATCCGGTAAGCATCCCACGTAGGTTCTGGACATGATCTCAGGGGTTATGGTTTTGAGTCCCGTGTCAGGCTCTGTGCTCACAGTGAAGAGCCTGGAAACTGTTTGGATTCTGTGTCTCCCTCTTTGTCTCCCGCTCCCCTGCTCAAGTTTTGTGTCTACCTCTCTCTCTCAAAAGTAAATAATATT